TCCAGAAATCTTATACAAGGGTTTTCAAATGCCAGTTATGGTGGAGATCTGGATCGCAAATCCTGAGGTCTTACTATGAACTCTTGTTACAGTTTACTATGGGTTCGTAACGACAAAAAAGCGGATTGGCGATATGCATTTCATGTAACGCTGTCTCACAACGATTAATTTTCTAAGCCGAATCGTAATAAGAGTTCATAGTAAGACCCCTGTATGGCTACGTTTTTACGGCTCAAAGAGGAGCTGCATGCTGGCAGGGCATAAAACAGCGGACAATAGCTCTTTCCACTGCCGAAGCGGAATATGTGGCCTTGCCAGAAACAACGAGAGAGACAGTATTAATAAGAAGACTTAAAAGCAAAGATAATCTGCCCTGAGGAACAGTGCATCACCATATTCATGCCAATATGCTATAGCAATCACAGAGAACTACCAACGCACAAAGCATATTGACCTACGTTATCATTTTGTCAGAGAGGCTGTAGAGGACCATCAGGTAGTAATAAATTACATTGAAACTGTGTGGTATGAAAATGTATGGTTGTAGATGTTTTAACTAAAGCCTTGGTGAAAGGGAAATTCGAACCTGTTTTCCATCCTCTAAAGTATACCTCTGACGATTTTTTTTCCGACCTGACGGGTTTGAGAAGAGCGATTGAGTGAAGAACATTGACCTACCAAAGAATAAATGATTTCTTAATATTAAAGGAGTGTTAAGAAAGAGATCGCATTGTGTGTGCAAGCTTCGTTTGTTAATATCTTGAAATCGGAAGACGTAATCTCTACAAAATTTTCTTGTATCATCAGGCTAATTTAAAATTAGGTACCTATTTTTGGGGTGTTTTACATTCATCATCGATCAGTTACTTATAGGATGGAAAGATTAGTTACATCAATAATATCACATAATCATGTTTGTACACTCTTTGTACTAAATGTGTTCACTCAATATTTACTAGCTGCCGGTTACCATAAGCTTATGAAACTCCTCCAGCTCTATCAATAAATGAGAAAACTTGAAGAAAATCGATTTAATATTATAACAAAGATTTTTATTACTTTTTCTTTCTTTTAATATACTATATGACGTAGAAAATCACGACATGAAGGAGAGTTATTGCGTGAGGCGCACTATAAGTTTCCGGAATGAATAAGAAAAAAATACTATAAATGGTCAGAATTGAATTTATTGTTACTCAAAATATTCTCCGTTAGCATTAATGCACTTTCTCATACGAATGAACCAATTTTGAAAACATTTATGCCACTCCTCCATGATAATCTCTGAAAGTATTTTTCATACTCTACGACAGCCTCTTAAGGTGATGAAAATCGTTGACCGCGTAACAGGTTCTTAATTTTTGGAAATAAATAAAAGCCACAAGGTGCCAGGTCGGGACTGTACGCGGTATGACTCATAAGGTCAACGTTGTTCACCTTCAAAAATTCACTTGTCTGTCTGGCGGTGTGAGAACTGGCATTATAATGGTCCAAGATGATACGGCGTTTACGGTTATTTTTACGGAGTTTGTCAATAGCTTCCAGCAAACAAATGGTTGTGTACCAATCACTATTCGTGGTACAACGATTCTCCAAAGCAACAGTAGCCACGTGTCCAGTTTTATTTAAAAAAGAAGCAATCATCCGCTTAGAGGCACTTTGCATGTGCGCCGCTTTGGTTGGTTTCGACTCATCTCGAAAGACCCAGACGCTCGATTGCTGTTTTTTTAGGATTGTAACCATAAATCATGTTTCGTCACCCATTACTATGTCCCACACCAAATTTGACGCCCCTTCGTTAATCTGATAAGCATGGCATTGCACCAAGAGACGCGATCAGTTTTTTGAGCCTCAGTCAAATTGTGTGGGATCCACCGAGAGCACCGTTTTTTTACACCCAAATGTTTGTGTAGTATTGATTGTGTTTGCCTTTGCTTAAAGTTGCCCGAATACTTAGAGGATGGAAAAAAAAAGCCCGAATCTCATGGTATGTGACATGCCTATCTGTTTTGATCATACGGCGCACAGCATCGATGTTTTTGTTGTTCATAACAGTGGACGGGCGACCATCACGAAATTCGTCAGTGAGATACACACGACCGTGCTTAAATTCTGCAAACCAGCTATAAATAATCGTCTTGCATGGTGCTTCTTCGCCAAAAGCAGTTTGAAGCCGAGTGAAGCTCCGCTGAGCTGTTAAATTACACTTAAAGTCGTAGAAAATACTAAATATGCACTAAATCTATGCGGCCACCAGTGTCAGTTTTTTAATGGTTTTAGAATAATATAAAATTTTGGCGATTATCGCCAGTGTCAGTTGAGTGAGATGTCTATGTTTTTTCTATCCTGGAAGGTTTTAGGCTTAGAGGATGGAAAAAAATAGTTTTAGGAGACGACAATAATTTTATTTTAAAGTGACTCTCATAATCCCATGAGCCGGTAATGTAAAAAAAAGATTGAACACCTTTGCTCTGACAATAATTGGGTGTGATAAAATAAATTACAATATTATTTAGGAGACCTACTCAGTTCAGCGCTATGTGTATATGAGAATTTTAAAATTAATTACTTTAATCTCCTGCCTACTCCTTTAGAGACCTTTTTTTTTTACAGTATTTTTATGAAACTTTCAGGAATTGTTGTTAATATTTTAGAAAGTATGCGAAAAATATTGAAAAAAATATTTGTGTACGGCACTATATTAAGATGTCCATTCAAAATTTTGAATGGTTGTAAGTGGACTAATTAGCAATTAAGTTACAGGAATAATTGAATAAAATATTACTTATTGAAAAATCAAAACACAAATTGTACCTATTACATATAAACTTAAGAAATGAATAAAAAATAAGTATTTCTTATGAAAAAACAAGATATTACTTCTATCATTTAGACGTTATTACTATATAATCTAATTTACAAAATTTTTTAAATTGTAAATGTAAGAGATGTAATGTGCATGTAAGAGATTAACATAAACATATTTATTCTAACTTTCAGCCCCGTGAAATTCGATGAAACAGTTTCTGTTTGGCACAAAACACTGACAAATCTCAGATTTTTTACAGTTTTTCTTATTACAACCAATTTTTTTCAGCTTAACTGTTTTAAACTGTTATGCCTTTAATTCCCTTATAGTCAAATAGAGACACCTTCCGTTTTCAAAATTTATGTTCTATTTGTACAGTCAACAAAAATAATATTGTCATCGATATACCTACTGCTGGTAGAGACTACATAATGCCCATTTCGTGGTATCTATCGGCAAATAGGCGGGTTGCAAACACTAAATTCAGGCTCAAACTTGTGTTCGACCAATTATCTTGCTTGTCATTAGCTTTCTGGCAACTGAGGACCTGTAATCAGAGTGAAGGTTGGAAGGATGGGTAACACGTCTACGTGAACGCGATATGGATCTCAGATGTCTTCTCGATCGCGACGGTAATGATGATGAACTGGCGAATACTTCCGAATTATCGGAAAACGCTGGAGAAGACACAACAGCATCCGATATATCGCGCTGTTATTACAATAGTGTTATAACTTAAAATATTTGAAATTTAAGATTATAGTTGGGGAACGGTTTTCACGCCAATGAAACCGTTGTTAAAATATTGTAAGAAACAATTAAAAGATATCTACTTAACTCAAAATGAGATAAACTTTTTGTGAGCCAGTTCTGAATAAAAAAAACAGCCCTGGTCAAAAATAGGATATTATTATTTCCCTTTTATTTTTAAACATATTTGGCAAGCAGGAAATTGTATGCGTTTGTGGAATAAACTTTAACCTACACATGTTCTTTTCTAAATCTTTCACAGGAAGAGAATAATTAGTTTTTCATCGACTTTAAAAGAATACCCTTTTCGAGTTAATACATTTTTATATTCACATTCGATATGTGCTTCGTCACTTCGTCGTTCGTTAGTTTGATTGCGATTCGGTGGCCTATATTCAAGATCGTCATCGGAAACGTCACCATAAAACAATCTTGGAGTCATTGAACGTCTTTAATTCTAGTATTTCATTATCTAATCTGTCAAATCATAATCTATCATAACTTAAGAAAAAAATATATAAGTTGAAAAATATACGTATAATATTTGAAAGATTTGATTATGTACTCTGTAAAGAACATGTGCAGGCATACTTACATCTTATATCATATTCTTTGCAGAGGACATAAAGTTTGTTAGGTTATTTGTCGCTAAGTATTTTTTTTTTCTGAAAAATATTTATCTACATAATTAATTTATTAATTAGACAAGTCATTTAGGGACATATATTGCTTAATTTATTAAACTTTGAAATCATGTAGACTGACTAACTTAGACTCGCACAGACGCATTCTTGCACTGGCTCCGTCAGATGCTATTTAGAAAAAAATACAGATAACAGAAGACCTTTATCTATTGCTTTGACAACTTAATAACTTACTTATGGTATTAAAAAAAATAGTAAGCTTGCCACCTTTAGTTACGTCAGGAGAATTTTTGGATTTCTATGTACTCCTCGGAGTACAAATGTAGGTAGAAGGTTAAGCATTACAAATATTGGACAGCGTGTTTCAACAATGACCATTAAAACCGTAAAAAAGTGAGATGTCAACTCCTATTTTTACATTTCGACATTTCTCCCAGGATGGAAAAATATAAGCTTTTCTCCTATGATTCAATTTCTGAATTCAATTCTAATTTCGTTAATATTTTCTTTTGCATCATTTATGAACATCAAGCTGGTTATATATACTCTTAGAGGATGGAAAAAAAGTCTAAGTATATACGCGATGTTTATGGACAACGTCAGTCATGTTAAAAATAACCATAGATATAAGATTTGAATAAACGTAGTGCTTAAATTCTCTTTGAATTTAAATCAAACGTTGGATTTTGAACTGTCGTTGTTTGGTACATTTCGACGCTATATTTTAATTATTTTGTAGCTAATCATTTTAAACAGCGTTGTGTTTACTTAAAAAATAATCATACAAAGACATTAGAATGTTGTCGGCGGCGAAGGTACGCATTCATGGGATGCAAGATGAAAATTGGGTGATAAAGGACAAGATCAACCAATACCGGGGCCTAATTAAACTGTACGGTAAGAATTAAAGATTTCTAACTAAACCTTATACAGTATAGGGTCATGTCACATTATATCCTTCAAATTTTATGATTTCTATACGTATTGTGTTTTTGACGACCCCGGATTGGTGAACAGGCCTCGAGATCGTTTTCCAGTGGGACCATTTTTGACGACTTACTTTTCTAAGTATTACTGTTGTAGCTGTTCTAGGTAACGCGCCCCGGATAAATTTAATTACTCTGATGCTCATAGGACAAAGAACTTAGTAGTTTATATTATAAATGTTACTGTTTTTAGGTCCTCCCCCCATGAGACCCCCGGTATCACTTATGACAATTTCATTAATATTTTTTATTTCACGCTATCTCAATGCGTTCGTTTGATCTAATATTAAGTCACGTTGCATTACTTAATACATTAACGATTGGTAATAATGTGGGTATTTTTCATTGGCGCATGAGTATGCAATGGAAACCCTTACTCGAAATTGAACCTTTATGCAAATGCCGACATGGTGAATTCTCGAAGAGGTAATTATTGTTTCAAAGTTACTTACTACCTACCTGGGCTTTGTGTTTTTCAAATAGGAAGGATGTTAATCTTTTGTTTTTTGATATTATTATAAAATTAACGAAATAAAATTCATTTGTAGTAGTTTTTCCTACCATTTCTTTCTGTGCCATAGGTGGTACTTTGGGCACTCAAGTCTTAAAACATGTATCTTTATAGCGTAGATAGTTGGTGAATTAGTGGTGATGTTAGTCAATTTGAACGAGTCTGGGTTTGATGATATTCTTTAAGAAGAAGAAGAGACTTAAATGTAGCAAGGAGACATTCGAGAGGAGGTCATTCCTAGGTCAGTTGACGGCAATGAGTGGAAATCTTTTGATGGTGAACCGCTTTTTTCCTTTCGCATGTCAATACGACGAAAAGATCACTCAACCGTCAGCAGCCTTGGAATAGAACAAATATGTTTTCGAAAATTCATTAGAAGAATCGTTTGAAAATCCACTACTACTTGACTCAGTCACTGTGCCAACCCCCATATATTTTTTAAATATATCGACCCGTCATTTTGTGAAACAATGTCTTATCGATAATATTTGACTAATATTTAACTAATACTAATATTTAGTCAGCCTAAACCAGATTGAAAGATCTTTAAATACTAGTCCGAGAAGAAATAAGAATATTTATTATCTTGTCAATGGCAATAGGTATTTTAGAACTTCCTCGTATTCTCATATTTTGGCTTCAGATACAATAGTAGCTCTTGTAGGTACCAGATATTTTCAATAGAGATCCAATATCAAAGTCGTTGATGATTAGTTAGTTACTTATGCAATGAAAGAAATACACAAATTTAAAAAAAATCGTCCAGTTGTTTCTGCGATGCCATTGAAAAATATTGTGAAGAAAACCAATGGGACGAGAATGTAGCAATTGACGAGCAGATGACAATCCAGATCCAGATTATAATCCACTGGGAAATGTAATTTCCCATTCACTGGGAAGTAAACATTTAATCTATGGCAATCAAATGCCATTTCTGGAGTTTTGTTCAAGCTAACACTCGCAGTAACTCTGAAAGCGATTTAGAGCCTGAAGGTGTAGATACTGTAACTCTGACTTCAAACCGAAAACGTAGGCTAGTGGAACCTGTTCCCCATGTTTTAAGAGGTTGATTGGAGGTCAACACCACCTTTGGAACTAAAGTGTATAACTTGATGTACCTACTATTGACTGTACAAAAACAAATCGGTCTAAATGTAAATGTGTGGATGCACTACACTGACTTTTGCGAAATGTTCAGAATATAAAATATCCTTGTCTAACAAGGCTACTGATATTTATTATGAATGTCATCCCCAGAAAAAACTAAAAATGTTTAAATTTCTCTTTGAAAAGCAGTAAACAATAAACACGTTTATTACATTTGATGCAATTTTTTAAACACTCAAGGAATGTACTGAAGTACCTACTTCAATTTTTTAACGAATGGCGCGTGTGGCGAGTCACGCTAAGCCCTCAATGCACTCTTACAAAAGCGAATATGTGCATCCGTACACGGCGCGCGTTGGCGTGCACACATATAAGGTGTGCAGCTACGTTTTACGGAGTTGTCACACTTGTAGTTATTCTACCATGGTAACACCCAAGAGAAGCGAATCAAATTGATTCGCTCTGGACCTTTTGGAGGGAAAAGTGTCGTTTTTATTTTGACTTTCAATTATTTTGTGAAATCTAGTTTAAAGTGGAATAGGACAGTGCTATTGTGCCTTAATCGAAGATTAAAACGCGAAATTATACGAATCTGGAACTAAAATCCGTATCGGCCCGTTCTAAGGAATCCCGAGTCAATCCAAACACGCCGCCTCAAATTGCCTATCCTCTTTGTGGCGGCCATATTTACAGAAAAACTTATTTTTATGTTTTCGGCTGAAGGACTTTGTTTCCATGGCCAGCAATAAATGAAAAAAAAGCGAATCAAATGAAATACGTACGAATAAAAAATGTATAGGACGTTGGCGTGTCGACCGTGTCATTATGTTACATTTATAAATAGTTTAACAGCTTGGGACATAGTCTTTTAGCCAACCTTATTAGATATTGTTATAATAATTATAATAATGGACTCGTAATGAATAAATTATAAAAGAAGTAGTGGATAGTAAGTAAGATGATTAGACCTATTTTTTTAAATAATCCCAATAGTTGGATATCTACCATTTGAAGCATAGACATCATAGCCATGCATAATTATTGTGTTGCCAGTCATTTATTATGTTCGAACGATAATTTTGAGTGGTAGACGTGATAAATAAATAAATTCTCGTTAATTTTTTAGTGAATTCGCCGTATTTCTTTATTCAAAAATATATGGTAGTACTTGAGACATCTTTGGGCCCAAATTGTATGGAAGAAAAAATGGAACCAATATTGAGAAACTGATACTGTCTTTCCAGCCAAAAAGAATCATCAAAATCGGTTCACAAATACTCGAGTAATGACGTAACATACACACAAAAAATAGTCGAATTGTGAATCTTGAATTGTGAAAGGGTTTTGTTTGGTTCTTTTACGGAACAGTGTGTTGTGAACTATGTGGATAGCAGCTTCATTATCCTTTAGTTTAAACATGCCATCCATTTCAGTTAACTTGCTTGAATATCCTCTGTAGCCACACCAGCTCAGGTGAGGCCTCATTTGCGGCAAAAATATCTGCCTTTGTAAATGATATTCCTACGAATGCCTGTCGCTGATCAAATCATGAAATAGCTCCCCTTGCATGTAAACAGGTTACGCTTGTGATTGAGTGTGCTATTGTTGAATTTCCTTTGTGATCAGCATCACTACAGCCAATAATAGCTCTGTCGCCATTTTGGTAACTGATGCCACATGATACTGTATTTTTTGTGTATCTAAGTATCCGCTTGATTTGTATCCAATTTGCTTTTGCTGGATTCTCTTGGTTTCTGAGAACTACTCCAAAAGCGTAAACTATACCAGGGCAAGTACCGACTACATGATGAGCTACAGCTCCAATCAGTTCTCGGTTTGGATATTTGTGGTTGCTCCAATCTGAATCTCCCTCTTTCAAATCAGATGTAAATACTCTATATATCTAATATAATATAAATAACATAATCTTAAAAGGCTTAGATACATTTCTTACTCTACTTGGATTGCAATCACTAATTTCAAATCTGTAAAGTACCTTCTTTGTAAATGATTCTAGATTTATGAATTCCCACGCTTGTCTATTTGTATTCCTAGGTAAAACGAGACAAGCTTCTTTGTCATATTTGGATGAATGTTGAGGACGTTTATTTACTCTTCCGCCAGTTTCTTATCTTTAGTGGTCACAAGCCCATCATCTTCGTATAATTATGATTTCCTGAGCACTGATACTTAAAAGTGCTCTTTCTATTGTAAGGATCATTACGTGGCGTAAAGTTACGTCATATCCCTGACCATTCCGTGGCTTAAAATATTTTACCTCGAGTCTGAAAGTGAGTGTCTCTCAAATCTTTGCGATTTAGAGCTCTTAATGGCACTACAACTGTTATGGACAGGCGTGGACTTACCATCAGGCGCACGACTTGCGCGTCCCGTCACTTGGTATCATAAAAAAAAATAAAAAACGTACGAAATTACACCCAACGATGTTTATTATCTTCACGTGTATTTTAGGTAGACATTTGTTGGTGGGAAAAGTTGTGTGGCTAGGTAGCAGTCCTTACAGTTGATTGGAACATACTATTCTGTATCATGTCCTGAGTAGCAAGCGTGGAGAACAGGCTTCTCTTAAGTGAAGGTACTAAGCGCACTCCTTTCCTCTTTTCAGTCGTTTGACTTTGATTCAGTAACCACGGTGCCTGTACCTACAGGAATCACTGTGCCCCTGATGCAGTCATGACTTAGTGATCTGATTCAAAAATTTTGGAAGTCTCGAATTATGCCTTCCTACTACCTTCTACCACCTTCTACCGGTTACTTGCCTGGCAGCTCCACTGTCAACGAATTGGTTATTCCGTTCTTATTCCTGTGCGCATGCCATTAACCATAAGCGTGATGGTCTGGAGCTGAGAAGCTGACGCGTTACTTGCTGTTGTGGGTGTGGGTGGCTTTCTGTCCTTCAACCATTTCCTACAGTTGCACACCTCATCTTAGAACAGTAGTAGTCACAACTAGTGTGAGCACATATAATCCTCCTGAAGAGATTGCTAACTTGTTCAAAACACAATTTCGGGCGTCTACGCTCGTAATGTCTGATGGTCGGAATATTGATGCTGAGACCAACAACCGTGCAGCTAAATCACTATGTTTGACTGCTAAGGTTGTTGGAAAGGTAGTAAAGAACTTAATATCTATAAATCTATAAAATAATTTAGTATCATATAAAAAAAAAAGTTGAGTTTAGGTCAGAGCTATCGACCGAATGCGCTGTTATATGTAACTCCGGTACACGCTTGTTTACTGGATTTATCAAAAGCATTCTGACTCATAGATTA